CCAAACTTGTCAATTTTTTTGGCTGGATCGTCTTGCATGGAGAAATTTACCGAAAAATTAAACTGACAGCGCTAACTGGACTGGGACTGAGCGGCATGCTTTGGATAAGTTCATTTCAAGGGACCACGATGTCTCAAATCTACTGTTGTCTACCTTTCAACATCTGTCAATACAATTTTAAATTCTAAATCTAAGAATTAATAAATAAGTATGCCATGTTGTTCCTGCACAATATCGTATTTTTTTATCATTTGACAAGGGTTTGAAGTATTTCCAAGAAACTTTCCCCCTGTTTACAGAATAGACTCTTCCAAGATGGCGCGCACGCAACACATGTTAGAAATTGACACAGCTGCACAGAAGCCAGTTTTTACGGTGTTTTCCCTCAGAATGTTCTTGATTTCGTCGGTAATATAGCTCATTATCAAGTAATTCTACCATTTTACCAATATAATTTACCAATGCCACGGGGAAGCACTGCGTGTTTTAATACCAAAGAACCTCTTGTTGGCTACCGATGTTGTGTTGATAGAAGAAACCCTTTGAACTGTGCCGAGGCTTGGGCTAATTATGATGTTGCAAAGTTAAGATATCAGAGCAAATTCTAAAACATGATACAAGTGTACTCCAGTAGTTTCCTTTTTGAAGCATTTTTAAATATTAGTCTATACAGTGTCTGAGTATTTTGCCCAAGACCTGTACCAAGCATAAGACAAGTAACTCCATTTTTGAAATAAATTTTGGATTTGAACCTTTAAAAAAAGCTGTAACAAAGATTAAAACTTTTTCAAAATTTGACCCTCAAAATGCAGGAAATGGTGTTTCAGAGGGTTATATATTTCAAAATTTTCCGGGGGAGGATGCCCCGGACCCCCCCTACATTACTCGCGCCTGCGGCGCTCGCCCTCGCGCCTTCGGCGCTCGATGTGTGGGTTTGCCCGCAACCTGGCCCCCTATGCTGTGAAAAAATCCTGGTGAGAACACTGATACAGCATACATGAACAGCAGGGTTAAGCCTTAAGGTTCCGAACTGTCACTATTGTTAAGTCATGATTGTCTCCAGCATGCAACTTGAGTATTACTAAAATGACTGGGATATTCTTAGAACTTTGCCAATAATAATGA